CCTCGCGACGTGGCTCGCCCTTCATCTGTCGTAATGACGAACGCGACAGCGAGACGCCTACAAACCTGACCGGACAAGAACGGGAAGCGCCGTTTGTCCACCAAGCGTGCCAGAGAACGTATGGTGGAAAACGTCAACGCCGACCCATGAAACATACAGGTGCTGTGAAGCGTATGTCTTTGTGGTGATCCTTTTGTAGCCGTGCTGGTGTGACACCTTTGGTAGGACATACTGCAGTGTAGCAAAAAAGCCTTGCGATACTCAATGAGTACTGCATTTCTGGGATTCCCTTGGGACCCTTTTGGGCCGTCTTGGGCCTCTCTCGGGGCGGGGTGCAGCTCGGACCCCATAAGAAGAGAAAAATGGATTCATGAGAACGGTGCACGCCAGAGGCGCTTCCCGTCATCTGCCACCCTGGGAACATGAAGGACTTCGCGTGCCGTCTAGGGCTCTTGGGGCTCTTTTGGGGTCTCTGGTGCCCTCTGGGGAGCCTGTTGAAGGCCTGTTGGGAGCCCGTTGGGAACCTTTTGGGAGCCTCTTGGGGGCTTCTGTGACCCTCTTAGACTGTGTTGGGGCTCTCTTAGGCAGTCCCGGGGCCTCTTCGGGCGCTCTTGGAAGCCTCTGGGCGCCCCTTGGGGGCCTCTTGGGGGTCTCTTGGGGCCTCTGGGCGCCTCTGGGGATCCTCTTGGGGGTCTCTGAGGGTGCTTTGGGTGTCCTCTGGGGAGCCTTCGGGGGCCCTCTTGGGCCGTTTTGGAGCCCTCCAGGAGCGATTCCAAGATGATCTGGTTTCGGAGCCCCCATCCAGAGCCGACTTGTTGAGGATGCCTCAAGCGAAACGGCCATTTTTCCGGAACCTAACCGGACAAGAACGGGAAGCGCCGTTTCTGTCCACCAAGCGTGTCAGAGAACGTATGGTGGAGAACGTCAACGAAACCTAGAAACGCAGCACAACAAATTAAGACACATGCCGTCGGTTCATTGCGATGGCCTGCCGCGCTAGTCTGCCGTACTGGTCTGTCGAGCTAATCTGCCGCCCTGGGCACATGATGGACTTCGCGTGACGTCTAGGGCTCTTGGGGCTCTCTTGGGCTCTCTGGTGCCCTCTGGGGAGTCTGGTGAAAGCCTGTTGGGAGCCCGTTGTGAGCCTTTTGGGAGCCTGTTGGGGGCTTCTGTGACCCTCTTGGACTGTCCGGGCGCGTCTCATGGGTCTGTGGGGGCTCTCTTGGGCTGCCTTGGCGTTCTCTTGGACTGTCTTGGGGCTCTCTTGGGCAGTCCCAGGGCCTCTTCGGGCGCTCTTGGAAGCCTCTGGGCACCCCTTGGGGGCCTCTTGGGGGTCTGTTGGGGCCTCTGGGCGCCTCTTGGGGGCCTCTTGGGGGTCTCTGAGGGTGCTTTGGGTGTCCTCTGGGGAGCCTTCGGGGGTCCTCTTGGGCCGTTTTGGAGCCCTCCAGGAGCGATTCCAAGATAATCTGGTTTCGGAGCCCCCCTCTGGAGCCGATTTGTTGAGGATGCCTCAAACGAAACGGCGATTTTTCCGGAACCTGACCGGACAAGAACTGGAAGCGCCGTTTTTGTCCACCAAGCGTGTCAGAGAACGTATGGTGGAGAACGTCAACGAAACCTAGAAACGCAGCACAACAAATTAAGACACATGCCGTCGGTTCATTGCGATGGCCTGCCGCGCTAGTCTGCCGTACTGGTCTGTCGAGCTAATCTGCCGCCCTGGGCACATGATGGACTTCGCGTGACGTCTAGGCTCTTGGGGCTCTCTTGGGCTCTCTGGGGCCCTCTGGGGAACCTTGTGAAAGCCTGTTGGGAGCCCGTTGTGAGCCTTTCGGGAGCCTGTTGGGGGCTTCTGTGACCCTCTTGGACTGTCCAGGCGCGTCTCGTGGGTCTGTGGGGGCTCTCTTGGGCTGCCTTGGCATTCTCTTGGACTGTCTTGGGGCTCTCTTGGGCAGTCCCAGGGCCTCTTCGGGCGCTCTTGGAGGCCTCTGGGCGCCCCTTGGGGGCTGAGGGGTCCCCTGGGAGGCCTTCGGGGGCTCTCTTGAGCGGTTTTGAAGCTCTCTGGGAATGGGAACGATTCCAAGATAATGCTGCTTCGGAGTGCTGTCTGGAGCCGATGTTTTGAGGACGTTCCTCGCGAAACGGCCGTTTTCCCGGCCTCTTGGGGGCCTCTTGAGGGTCTCTTGGGGTGCGTTGTTGGTTGTCCTTTGGGGAGCCTTCGGGGGCCCTCTTGGGCCTTTTTGGAGCCCTCCAGGAGCGACTCCAAGCTGATGTGGTTCCGGAGCCCCCCTCTGGAGCCGATTTGTTGAGGATGCCTCAAGCGAAATGGCAATTTTTCTGGAACCTGACCGGACAAGAACTGGAAGCGCCGACTTGTTGAGGATGTCTCGAGCGAAACCGCCATTTGTCCGTCCATCCGCCAGCGAGGTTCGGGGTGCGGCGCGGACCCCATAAGTGGAGAAAAGCAGCTTCAGAAGAGCGGTCCACGCCGGAGGCGCTTCCCTTCATCCTGACGATTCTTAAGGGGCCGCGACCCAAACTTCACAAATCTCTTGGGGCTTGCCGCGTGCCCCCCCCGGGGCGCGTTGCATCTTGTCGCGTGCCTCTGTTGGGCCCCAGAGGGCCCCAAGACGGGCCCAGAAGGCCCCGCGAGGCAGCCCAGACGGCCCAAGGGGACCCCACAAGTAGAGAAAAGCGGCTTCAGAAAAACGGTCCACGCCAGAGGCGCTTCCCGTCATCCGCCACCGTGCCTGCAGCTCGTGGCGGAGTGCCCCAAGGCTCATGCAGCCCTGAGGAGCTCAGAACTGGAGAGTTGTCAAACATTTCTATGGGCCGAGCCACCGGTTTTACAAGGCTTTCCGGGGATTTCCCGGGATTCCCTAGGATTCCCCAGGATTTCCGGGGATTCCAAATGATTTCCGTGGATTCCCTGGGATTCCCTCGGCGTGGCGCGCGCGTCCTCCGGTGGCGCAGCCGGCCAAGCATGGGCCCAACAAGCACCCGGGCCGAAAATGCCTCCGAGAAGGCCCCAAAGTGCCCCAAGACGCCCAAGATGGCCTCAACATGGCCGAAGAGGCCCCGAAAACGTCCCAAGAAGGTTCCAAGAGGCGTCCGGAGAGGGCCCCAAGAGGCACAAATCATTGATAGCCCAAGGTTTTTGTAGGGTTTTGGCCTTCTCGCCTTTTCGGCTTTCCGACGCTCCAAAACGGCGCACGACACGAGGCCCCCAAGATCGCCCCGAGACGGCCCCAGAGGCCTACAAGAGGGCCCCAAGACGGCCCGAGAGGGCCCCACGACGGCCCAACAGGCGCCCAAGACGGCCCAAGAGGGCGACCCAGGAGGACCCAAGAGGCTCTCAGGAGGTCCCCAAGAGGCCCCCAAGAGGCCCTAAGATGCTCCCAAGAGGCCCCAAGAGGCTCCCAAGAGGCTCCCGAGGCCCCAAATCTGCTCCCAAGAGGCCCCCGAGAGCGCCCCGAAGAAGCATCCCTGAGAACTCTGATCCACAACCCAGGCACTGTTGCGGTATGGGCCGAAGGCCACTAGGCACGTGACAGCAAGGGCACTTGTTTCTCTTGGTTGTAGCTGCAGCCGTGTGCAGAACTCGATCGGATCAGGCCAGGCTTCCAACCGAAGCCCAGCAAAGTGCCCGTCCTCTTCAGTACGGGGAGCGCGTGCGAAAGGTGCGCGGGAGGTTCTGTCGCTCCGCGGTAAAACTTGCCCCCCCAAGCCGCCCCCCCCCAATCCACCCCTTGCCCTCCCACGCCAGCAAGTGCCCGTCAAAGTGTCCGGCCCGGCAAAGTGAGATCCTGTCAAAGTGACGCCACACCGAGGCACGGCAAAGTGCCCGCCCTCTTCAGTACGGGGAGCGCGTGCGAAAGGTGCGCGGGAGGTTCTGTCGCTCCGCGGTAAAACTTGCCCCCCCAAGCCGCCCCCCCAATCCACCCCTTGCCCTCCCACGCCAGCAAGTGCCCGTCAAAGCGTCCGGCCCGGCAAAGTGAGATCCTGTCAAAGTGACGCCACATCGAAGCACGGCAAAGTGCCCGCCCTCTTCAGTGAGGGGAGCGCGTGCGAAAGGTGCGCGAGAGGTCCTGTCGCTCAGCGGTGGGACTTGCCCCCCCATCCACCGCTCCCCCTCCCACGCCAATCCTCGAGGTCTCCCAAATTTGCGTCTCACGCCGCGCGAGAACGTGATCATCGTCGCGCCCAGGCCACGAAAAGAGGTTCTCTTCGCGCCGCTGCGGGTGACCTCGCGTCCCCCATATCCCCCCTCCTGCCCCGCTCGCTCCTTTCCTCCTCCTCCTCCTCCTCCTCCTCCTCCTCCTCCTCTTTCTCCTCCTCCTCCTCCTCTTTCTCCTCCTCCTCCTCCTCATCATCATCCCTCTCCTTCTCCTCCTCCTCCTCCTTCTCCTCCTCCTCCTCCTCCTCCTCCTCCTCCTCCTCTACCAAGCCTTCGAAGTCCAGGCCAGAGGGGAAATGGACTCCCGCCAAGCCCCTCCGAAATGTCTTGTTTACCTACCTGCTCCTCCTCCTCCTCCTCCTCCTCCTCCTTCTCCCGCTGCCCCTCCCATTCCTGCCCTTTATCCCCTGGCGACGCCTGCCCCCTTCCCGCCCCCGTGTCGGGTCCCCCCTCATTCCCGTGTCGATCGTTGCATTCCCCCTCTTTCTGCATCTCGGCCTCCTTCTCCTCTTCCCATTCCTCCTCATCTCCTCCTCCTCCTCCTCCTTCTCCTCCTCTCCTTCTCCCTCTGCCCCTCCCATTCCTGCCCTTATCCCCTGGCGACGCTTGTCCCCTTCCCGCCCTCTTGTCGGGTCCCCCCTCATTCCCGTGTCGATCGTTGTGCGTTCTGAGCTGGCCCTGCCTCGCGACGTGGCTCGCCCGTCATCTGTCTTTGAGGTGCTGGCTCTTCCTGCATATGAAGACGCACGCTACATGCGACGCTTTCGCATACGTGGCAGCAAGCTTGTGACCGTCAAGCTGACGGCTAAAACATTACGGGTCCTCAGTCACGCTGGGGAGGTCTCCCCTTCCCGGTCCTGGGTGGGGGCGGGCCAATCTCGCTGCAGAAGCTTTGAAATGACATGTCCCTACCGTGCTGGATGTCGTTGACAATGTCAACGATGCCAGTGATCGCTAAGACTACCACTGACAACGCGATGATGCCTGCAAGAAGGAACATAATGATGGAAGGCCGCCTGAGCTTCTTCACTGCATAACCGATCAATGCCTTCCCAAAAACAGCACCGACGCCTGTCGCCACTGCCAACCACACCACGTAGTCCACTGGCACCGTCCCTGCCACCAAGAAGGTGAGGCAAGTTGACGTCGACATCACAAAGAGCGTAGTGGCCGTTGTTGCACTCTGAACCTGCGGCAAGAAACCAAGATCTAACAGAATAGGACCCATGACCATCCCGCCACCGATTCCGCACAGTGCGGCAAGGGTGCCGGCCATGAGCGACCATTTTACTATGGACTTAAGTCGGGTCTGTCCCGCTACAGGGGGATTTTGGACGAAAAATTGAACATATCCCACAAATACTCCAAAATGGTAAAAAAAAAAAAAAAAACTCAACACATCGTTCCCAGACTATTTGTAATGACTATGTTTGAATCTTCCCCCTGTAGAGGGACGGGCCCGCCTTAAGTTATGGACGCTGCTGTCTCCACCGTCCACTGCAGCTCGCCCTCGACCTCGGGGGCGCGCTCAGGCTTGGCAACCGCCTCGGCGACGGCGCGCCGAGCAGCCTGCACGCTGATGGAGGCCAAGAGAGCAACCATGAGCACCGAAATCAGCCAATACCATACAGAGCAATACTAGGGGAACAAAAAGTGGCATAAACATAAAAAACTCTGAGGTCCGCGCGCATTTCTCGGATCGGCGCCGGAGGCGCCGCCGGGGGGCCCCAGCGCCGATCCGAGAAATCCGCGCGGACCTCCGAGTTGTTATGTTTATGCCACTTTTTGTTCCCCTAAATACGTGACAATCGTGCTCGTATCTCTGCCGCCCCTTGCAAGGATGCCGAGCGCTGTGATCAGCCACATGCTTGCAAAGCCCATGAGCTTCCTCCTGGGGTACTGCCGCTGTGCACCTGCATCTGCAGCCATGGCGACACCAGTAATGGACGCAGAGTTCGAAGCCGGGGCCTGCTGGGATGGATCATTTGCACCGAGGTCAACGTGGATGCTTGATGGGCCAGCCGCTGCGTCAAGCGTTGTTGCTGGCTGAGCATCAGCTGCAGCAGAGCTTGAACTCCTCCCCCCACTGGGGCGCGACAACTGGGCATTTCGGCCGATATCAGCTTTTTCGGCATCCATTGGCCCAAGCACCTGGCCAGCAGCTGCCTTCTCCCCTGAAGCTTCAGTAGCGCTGCCAGCTGCAACAGGCTTGCCCACAACGTAAGCTGCGGCTGCTTCTTGGGTCGCCGCATTTCCAGCGGCACCGGCACTGCGGACAGAGGAGTCGTCCTCAGCGGGTCGCCCAACGACAACTCCAGGCGGCTCACCATGTTGATCTTGGTGCTCTGGATAAGGCTTACCACTGAAAAGATGGATACACCGTGCAATGAAGTTCTTGGATAGCCGAGCATCTCCCGCTGCTGCCATGCCACGGACCTCGCCAGCCTGCTCCTTGCGGAACGTCGTAACGGCTTTGCCGAAAGCCTTCCACGCAGAGTGTGAAAGGACTATCATAAGTAATGCAAGGATGAGCCATGATGGTGCGACCGGGTTCAGCGAACTGCCAATCAGTGCACCAATGAGGAGGCATGGGCCCATAATCAGGACCAAAGTATAATCAATCATGGGCTTCTTGCCGGACGGATGCCTCTGGCGCAAGTTATACAACAATGCAGATGCGGAGCCACCTGACAAGCAAGCTTGTGATAGCCCAGTGGCTTCACGAACAGTGAAGCCCAATATAACCATCAGCAGTGGCACGTAGAGACCACCACCACCAATACCTGCGCTCAGAGCTAAACCACTGATGAAAGAAAAAAGGAACGCTGCCCCAACATCTGCACCTACACTGCCCTTGAACAGGCTCCCGTGTTTGCATCTGAAGTCTGTGCCATCGCAAACGCGGTGCGGAAAGCCCTCACACTCTTCATCGACGTTACAGAACTTCTCGCACCTCCGCAGGTCCTTCTGGCAGACGAGTTCGGGGCCACACCGCTCAAACACGTGGTTATAATCCGCCCAACCCTGAAGGCGCCAGACATCCTCTGGGTAACAATCCTCGGTGGGCACTAAGGGAGCAGGTGTTGGATCGAATAACCCACCTGATGCGTCGGTGGCAGTAGCAGCGACGGTTGACCAGTACCACACGATCGGGAGACACAGCGTGATTTGCGACCTTCCCCTGGCAGCCAT